TTTTTTAAAATGGTAAAAAATGAGAGTATGTTGTGAGGATGTAAAATATAATGAACATTGTTTAGTTCATGAGAAACAATAAATATTGTGAAGTCATTATTTCAAATATTTAATATTCCTCCTCATAATTCTAATCAGTGATTTTTTTTTTCATGTACAAAGAGAAAAAGTCCAACTTTCTTGAAAGAAGTAATTTTGGGGAAATGTTAGGTTTTATATGAAAACAAGCTATCAGAAACTGTTTTCATTGAATCCCTGATATTCTTTTCTTAGGTTTAATGTGTAATATAAAGCTCACTGGAAAAAAAAAAAAAAAGCACCCTCTCATTTATTAACTATCTCTAGGCAACTACTTAAACTATTGAATGATAGAATTTTTGAGATAAATAATTATAGTGATTTCTGATGATTATATAATTGTAGCCATATATTTATATTTAAAATATAGGGTAAAAAAAACCAGTTTGTATTCACATGTAATTATAGTGTGATATGTACTGGAACCCATATACTATGGTATACTTTAAGTTGTATGGCAAAATTTAGCAAATTAATCAATAAATAAGAATATTACCCAATTAAATTATTATAAACCACATGGGAAAACAACTGCTAACCCAGAAAATAGAAAACAGATATGGAGAATGTATAATAAGTGTTTGAGAGAGATTTTCCCCAGCGTGTTGTAAGGATCTCATAATTTCATAGTGCCAAAGCCCAAGTGTGTTATGAGGACCTTTCCTCAAAAGTGACATTAATTACATACTCCACAAATGCTTATTATGTATTCTATTTATACCAAAGTGTAAAAGCAGTCAAAAGTTTACAGATTGAATATATTTAAAGGTGATAATAAAAGAGTCATTCAGGCCTAGCAAAAATTGTTAACTTAAACTTCAATTTTTAGTTTCATTATTAAAGAATATTGTAATTGTATTACTGCAAATAGAACTGAATCTTCCTATGAATGTGCTGCCTTTGGGATTTACATGATAGAACTGTAATGCAAATATTTTGGATGCTTTTGCACAAACAACCCATAAGTGATGATATCACAGGTCCTTATTTTCACAATAAAAATAAAAATACCACAAAAACAACTCTTAAAATTACCTTGGAAAGTCATAAAAAATAGGTCAATGTTTTTCTTTGGAAATTAGTATGCATTGACAGGCACTTAATTTTTAAAAATGTCAAATACAAATCAATAATTGGCAAACAAAAGCCAACTCAGATGCTAATTTCTTGAATTAAAACACAAGAAACTGCATTCCAAGTGCAGCAGGAGTAATCTTTCATAAAATTAATGAAATACATGGTGCAAATTACTTTTAGAATGTATTATTTGATAATATCACTATGCTTAACATTTAATTTCAGATTTATTCTGCTTAACCTAAAACAGAAATTCAATTTATCATTGGCTAACAACAACAACAAAATTAAAAATATTCAGAAGATAATAAATAACAGCATTAATAAGCAAGATTTTAGGTAATACAGGATTTCATGGGTACTTTTTCCTATATTTGAAGATAACTATCAATTGAACTAGAATTAAGTTAATTTAAAACAGTGTTAGCCAGTGTCAGTGGAATTAGTATTTTTACACTAATCATTAATTTTAATTTTGGTAAGTTCATTTGCTTAAAGTTGCAGATATGTTTAGATATGGTATGTTGCCCATTTAAGGAAACTTACAAATATATTCTCTAACAAAAATTATGTTAAAAAATGAAGTAGTTACATATTTCCTTAATGACAATTATAACTATTATGATGCAGACAAATGATTTTCATTGTATCATATAATTGCTATGGACTGAGTAAAATTAGATAAGTGCACAAATATATTGGTGTCTTTGTATCACCATTATCCCATCATAAACATATGTATGACTTACTCCTCATTCTATAAAGGTTATTGGTACTGGTAACATTTTGCATTGGCTCATTCATCATTGACATTTTTACCAAATTATTTTCTAATTTTGAATTAAATCAAGAGAAATTTTATTCTTTGTAAAATGCTGAAACATTTTATAGGAAACTATTTTGTTTGAAAATAAAAATTCTGTAAAAGAACTGTCAAGCAAAAATACATTTTAGACGACACAATATAAATTATGGTATCATCTTGAGATGAGCTGTTTTTATTAACTGAAAACTGATTATTTCAAATTTCTCAGATCATAGATTGAATTTTTGGTGCTGATTTTGAATGTAAAACTAAATCAACTTTCTTCCAACAGGAATAGTCAGTAGAATGAGCAATTCTTTAAAGTAATAACACCTATATATGACAATAGAACTAAACAGTCTCACTTCATTTTCATGATACAAAACTACAGTATTTATTAATTTCAAGGACATAAAATTATTGTGCAAATTGTTATGATCATTACCAGAAGTTTACTCTCAACTTCTGTACTCTCTCTTTAAAAAGCTCTAAAAGACACCTATTACATGTTTCTAGTAAGTGGGAACCCACATGTTTTAGTGAAAAAAGTATAGAAAAGTCTAAGAGTTTGAAGGGTGCATGAATCACAGTATGTCATATTTACATAGACATAATATCCTAATTAAGGAATGATAATGACAGATAATGCTTAAAAGGTACTTTCACACATATATTGAATGTTTAGTACATACTGAGAACTATACCTTTTGTATATTATGCTTTTATTCTCACAGAACATTATGAAGTAAATACCATTATTCTGAATCTCCACAGATGAAAAACAAAGGCTCAAAGTGGTTAAATAGGAGTGTTTCATTTCAAAGTCTGTGTTTCCAACTGTTATTTTGTACTATTTTTTGACCCCAAAGTTACTAACAGTCATCAATAAACATACACAGGTGGGTAGGACATTTTAGGGGAGCATGCAGGGATATAAGATTATTCAAGCACTTTGACCTTTCATGTACCTCACAAATATTAGTTATAAAATCAAATTAATAAGTGAAATGGATCAGTGAAATTCTTGAACTATAAAATGAAGTACTCATCAAATTCAAACAATGAGTGACCTCTTCTATATAAATATTTAAAGGTAATATAGATAAGGTTCTATAAATAATGGAATAAATGAGGAAGCTATGGTTATTACAAGCCTTTATATTGTTATTATCACTAATAATGTTGAAAAAATTCAGAGAAATTATGTCATGGACCACGCGATTTTACTGGGAAAATACTAGTCAGGATGTTGAAGAAGCTCTGTGAATTATTATGTTGAAGAGGAAACTGAAGGAGATTAATGTCTGCTGAAGGAAAGTGGAACACCCTGGTTATAAATTGTTGTCCTGAAGCCCACTTCATCACCACTGCAACATAAAGCACTAGCACAGGAAAAGAGGCAGAAAATTAGAAAGAATTTCAAAGAAAGGGGAAACATGTATATCACCAATTTCTTTCCCCAATTTAAAGACCAGTTTTTAGATGTCAGCAAACAGCATTTTGAGGATGTCAAGTGGGATTTATATTTGAATATGTTAATTCTTTGAGTGCACAATGGAATATAGAATTTGAATCCTTGTCACTAGCTATTTCAAAACACAGTTTTAGGTCCATGATCAAAAATGCATTAAGCTAGATCTATATGCTAATACATTTTTTACGTTAGACCTATATGTTTAAGTAGCAATCATTAATAGCCTAAAATGTTGCCTAACACCTATGTCAGACACAACTTTCTCATTTCTGGTGGGAATGCTGCTCTTAATGATGAGGTTATCACACACACAAATATGAGCATGATTAAAACAGGAAAGAAGACTTCTTCGATCACAGTTCATGGCTTCCAGAGAAGAAAAACAGCTGAGAATTATTCTTAGTGAAAAATTCCATGCAACATGACAACATATTAACAACTCACCAATTCTTTTCTCTGGGCTAAAAAAAAAAAAAATCCCAAAACAGCCCCCTCTAATTCTAAAGTTTTGAATCATTTGAGATTCTTTGTAATACAAATTAAAAATCCATATTTATTAAACCTCTATTATGTACATCTCAATAATACCTTCTTAATTTTTTGATATTCTACTAATGGAGAGTTAGACTTTATAAAAATAACTGTCAAGAGACTACTCAGCACTACATATAAATGTTCTATTATTTCAATAAAGTGGACTCTTGTCTGTAGCATCATATAACTCAGATTTATTAAAATCACTCTTATTTTTTTTAAAATAATTTTATTGTATTTTTTATGCATTTATTTTATTTATTTTTATGTGCTGAGGATCAAACCCAGCGCCTCACGCATGCTAGGCAAGCACTGTAACACTGAGCTACAACCAGAGCCCCAAAACACTATTTGCAAATTTAACTATATACTTTACAAGCTACTGAAAAAATACAAACACCCTTTCTTTCAAGTGGTTCCCTATTCTTCTGCTATAGTATGTTATGAAGTTATGTGGCTAAATAAAATTAATACATTATGTTCAATGAAAAGGACATCTATTTTATTAACATCACTTCTGAAGTAGAGCAAAAGATGACCACATGATAAAATGGAAAGAGTAAGAACATCTTATAGGACTGTTTGGTTCAGGGATCAGCTTTGTGTGTGTATGACCTGCACAACCATGTACTTCTTAAGAATGCTTCATTTAATGATCTATTATATCCATCTTGAAATTCTTATTTCTCAAAAGCATTCTGACATTCTTCTTTTGCCTAGGGCTCTGCAGCAAATTATGTAGTCAATCCTGCCTAGGTCTGAATTATAACTTCATTGTTTACAATGTAAAGTTAGACTAAGTCTTAGCTTCTTCATCTGTAAGAATAGGGAGATACTCAATTCACAAGGTTTGTGAGAATATTAGATGATACACCATACATGAAAGTAATGGGCATAAAGCACATAAGAACGAGGGGAGATGAAATAAAACAGAGATGGAACAGTTCTTGCTTCTACTTCTAGGGATCTGAGACATAGAAATTACCACAAATCATAATTATTTGTAGCTAAAACTAAAACTTTAATACTTACAATCCATATATCTGTGGTGCAATTTCCAGTCTGTTCAAGTGCATATAGAGCTCAATATCATGCTTCTTCAGTAGATGATCCTGGATCTGATTGACTTTAGTAACAATAGCAACTGTTGGTCCTAAATCCTGGGGCCGGGCAAAGGGGATGGGAGGCATCAGAGTTTCTTTCCCCTAGATAGGAATAATGGGACATATATTATTTCAATATGAAAAGAATATCATTCTTCAATTTCTTTACCAAAGAGAGTTTAAACAAGAAATAAAAACTGCTATAATTATCTCTTGACAAATGCTAAAATATGGAACCATATGATGACATTCAGATGATTTTGCTCATTAAACACTGGCCAGGAAATGCCTTCTAAAATATTTGTTGCATATATTTCCTTGACCAGTTTCTCTTGTGACAAAGTTTTACAAGATAAGTTTGTCTAGAAGTGGTGATAGCCACTACAAAGTATCTATGGCCAGTTTATGTGATGCTACAGAATATAAATGGAATGCGATGGAAACCCATTTTTGTGTGAGGCATGATATTCAAACATAAAAAACAGTAAATGAAAACTCTTTTACTTTGAGCTCTCAAAGCTATATAAAATAGGGTAGAGAGAGATTCTATTATGTATATATATGAAATGTTTATATTGCCTTTGTATGTCTGTCAATTTTATTAAGGGTATGTTTTAGATTCCCAGGTCCAATCTTATTTTGTAAGTACGTTCAATTTTATATATGTTCATATTTTATATATTGTAATAAAAATGACTTATTATGTACTACTCCCTGCTATATGTTGTTACTGAAATCATTTCTTCACTCAAATATACTGAAAAGATCTGTTCTATTATGTTTACCTTTTTTTTTTTTAATACACACACATTTTTTAGTTGTGGATGAACCTTTACTTTTTTATTTATTTATATGCAGTGCTGAGAATTGAACCCAGTGCCTCATACATAATAGGCATGCACTCAACCACTGAGCCATAACCCACGCCCCTTATAATATTTACCTTTTGACCATCATGCTCAAAAGTGGAAAACCAAGGTTCAGCAGTTTCCATCAGTTGTGAGAACATTGCACTAAAAGTAGAAAAATAAAATAATGTTATGGTTTATCCTCAATAAAGTAATAATAGCATAAAAGAAGAAAAATAATAGTTTTTATACTTACTAGGCATCATGTTCCAGATACTCAGGGTTCAAGAGGGTTTTCATTTCCTCGCTTTAAAAAGTAATACAAGCAATCAAAATGTGCATTTTTTCCAATAACTGAAGAGGATACAGAGTTTGTCTTATTCGACATTTTATAAGACAACTTTCATATAATGAATAAATGAGAAAAATTAGCCTTTTTAATAAAAAGAGCAACTCCATTAACAAATAAAATCCTTTCTTTCTATAAAGATCAAAAACAAATAAGCTGCCTTGTTGGTGCCACAATAAAGTAGCTATCTAATTACTCTAAGCAACAAATACAGAAAGTGACAATATTTTCTTTGACTATGTTTGATCTAGAATAATTTATAACTCTATGATGTATCACTTGTCATCTAAAACCAAACAAAACATATAGTTACTGAGTCAATATGCAATATCAAGACATTCATTTATTTTCTTTTAATGGCCATATTATTTGAACATCAATTAATCAGTGATAACATCTTTTACAAATTTACTTCAGTATTGCTTTACTTAGTAATGAATTCCAAAGACTGAAGAACTATGTTCTACTAATTTTAAAGCTACATTCAATCATCTCTACTTTCCTGTATATTCTCTGTGCACATTTTCAAAAATAAAAGTGGCATGAAAACTGGTTTGCAACACAAACTGCAACCTGATATTTTAGAATAATTGAAGTGAAGGTAGTTAAGATATCTTACTCTTGTCAAGATCCAATAAACTCAATAAAATCAGAAAAATTTAGAGGAAACTTGAAAATGCTAATTTCATAACATAGTAGACAAAAGTTAATTCACAGGGCTGTACATATTCTTTATAAATTGGACAGCTTACATCTGAACATTAAACATTACACAATTAAGATATATGAGATGTTATCTGCCAGTATTTTGTCTCCTGCATATTGGTGGGCTAACTTATGGATTGCCTGACAAGGCCTTACAATCATACAGCTCTCTGTTCCCAAAATGCTTCTTGGTTGCTTTTCTGGCCCATCAGCTGGGGTAGCTTATTTTAAAAAATGAATTTTAATAATTACCTTAGTTAAATCCAATTACAAACATCATCTGCAGCTGGGCATGGTGGCACACACCAGTAATCCCAGCTACTCTGAAGGCTAAAGCAGGATGGTGGCAAGTTCAAGGCCAGCCTCAACAACAAAGTGAAACCTTGTCTCAAAATATGAAATAAAAAAGGGCTGGGAATGTAGCTCAGTGATGGACCACCCCACTGAGTTCAATCCCCAGCACATACACATATACAAAGTAGTCTCTCTCAACAACCTGAGAACCCATTTGATTTATTTACAGACAGATTCTTCATAGTACTGTTCTTTTATTTATGAATTAAGCTGAGTCAAAGCTGGTAAGGAGAAAGTATGTAATAAAGATATCATTCAGTTCACAGTGAAAAATGAGTCATCAGAATACATATGAGTATTATTGATCATTAGCACTTTTGTCAGTAAAACAAACATTTTTTCTTGACCCATCAGTTATATGTCTTCCTTTGAAATATACTAAAATTTTCAAAGACACAACTGCAAATCTGCCCCACAGCTAACCTGGCATTACAACTATTAAGTGGAATTACAACTAGCCATATAAAATACAAATGTTCACAACTTAACAAAATTTACAAGTACCTTTAATTTAAAAGATTTTGAAGCTAAAAAAGTAAAGGATATAGTAAGTAAGAGTAAGGAACTCATTAAAAACTTGCCTTGGCTGTGCAGACTCACTGGCATGTAGAAAAGCTTGGTGGTCACAATGAAGGATGAAGACTATGGGGGCTAATAGCTCGTGCATACCCTGAAACACAAGATCAAGAGAAATGAATGAAGATAGTGAAAGGCCATTAGTGGACAGTATAAGCTGAGTAATGTTAAAGATCTTCATATTATACAGAAAAGCATAAAAATGGAAAGGTACAAAATGAGATTTTTACCTACATTTAGAATTTGATCCCAATTCAACCACAGCACCTATTCTTGTTTAAAACACGGATAGCAGTTCTCTTTTAAAATAACATGACAAACAATAAATTGGCATGGTAGACAACCTTGCACCTGTCAGTTGCTTCAAGATCTGTACTCATAAATATGAATTTCATTTATGCAAATTATAATCATGAGCTACAGTGTAAAGATCTGCAGTAAGAAGGGCAACTAAGAACTGTAGACCTAAGAAAATTACATCCAATGTTTTCATTATATAATGGCTCAAAATTAGGATGTCTGTAGACTTAGGAAGAGCTAAAGTCAGCTAGCTAAAAGTGGTAGAAAATTTAAAACAACAACAACAACAAAACTTTAGAAAGTATGATAGAAAAGTTTTTCAAATATGATTTTCAACATATTTAATCAGAAAACTATTATAGGTTTCTTTTCTACTTAAACTAGGGTCATTTTCAAATTATTTAATGAGTTCACTAACATAGTATTTTCCCTTGTATCTGAGGTTCAACTGACAGTTACACAAATAGGCAAAGAAACAAAAAGGCATAGTGTTAGTTACTAAACCGTCTTTTAAAAGTTACTCTAAAATTCCACTATTTGTTCATTACTTAGGGACAAAAGATATTAAGCATTAGTGACAAGCTTTGTTCATTTAGATTTTTCCTCTTTAAGCACAAAATACCATATTCTAACAAGCTAAAACAGATTATTGTCCTTTCTGCCTCTTAATTGAAGCATATTTCTACTTTCCTTTTGCTTAGTAACAAGGATGTTCTTCTATAAAAAGACAAGACAAAATATCACCTTTAGAGGAAATATAAGTAAAATATAAGAGAGCAAAGAGGAGAGAACAACTTTGCTAGTAGAATTAGAGGTAGCTTCCTGGAAGGAAGGACAGAGTCACACAGATAACTGTGCAGTCACTAGTATTGTGCTAGTCTTAGGAAGTCACTTGTTATCAAAGATGACAGTAGATTTTATCGAATTTCATTTCTAACTTTTCACTAGTCTTGATTACAATTATTTAATGAATATTTTGACAGTATAACTTATAATCCATTGACAATTTATGTTTCATTTAAATTACCACATGACACTTCAATCTTTCTTGGTCAACATTTATTCATTTAACAAACCTTGGAATGAATGTACTCTCGAAGAACATGGTAGATGACAAGAGATGAAATCAAGTGAGCTAATTGGGCTTTAAAAGTCATCATAAGGAGTTAATTTTCTTGAAATTATATTATTACTTTAAAAAGAAAGTGCCCAAATTTTGGCAATACTGGGGATTAAACCTAGGGGTGCTCTACCACTGAACTACATCCCTGGTCCTTTTTAGTTTTTGAGGCCAGGTCTCCCTAAGTTGCCAAAGCTGGCCTTGAACTTATGATTCTCCTGCCTCAACCTCCTGAGTAGCAGGGATTACAGATGTGTGCCACTGCACATAGCTGATGTGTCATAATTTTAATAATCAAAGTAATAGCATTCAAAGTAGAAAACTAGAGAAAAGCAGAAACAAGAATGAAGTCAGGCAGGAGGAAACAAAGAAACTACAAACTTTAATGGATAGCCTTATGGTAATATTTTAGCATATTTCTGATGTTTTCCTTAGAATAAAGTTTTCAGAAGTACAATTTCTGGGTAGAAACATTTGTTAAAATCCCTGATGTATACTTTTATACAGCTCTCCACAAAGAATTCCCTCACTGTACAATATTAAAGTCACCATCTACATTCTTTTTTAAAAATTGTGTGAAATTTCAAAAATTGTTGTAATTATATATGTGAAAGCCAGTGAGACTAAACATTTTACTACCATTTTTAATTAATTATTTTGTCCAAATTATTGTTTCCTTTTCCCTAATGATTTGTAACAGTTCTTTACCAATTAAACCTATTAATGCTTCTCAATTTTGTTAGAAATATTTCCCATGTTTATCATTTGTCTTTTAATTTTGACATCTTATGTCATACTAAAGTTATACATTTTAATAGTTAATACAATAAATCATCCATCATGGGTTGTGTTTTTCGTTTTTTTTAATGCCTAAAAAGACTTCCCTCATATTGAGATTAGGTAAGAATATAGTTTTCCCCCAACCCCAGTAAATTCTCCACTCACCTGATATTAGTATAATTTCTGCCATAAAAAATATAACTTTCTTCTTCAAAAGAAGTAAAATTTACTGAATAATTAACATCTTCAATAAATTTAATCTATTCAATAAGTTGAACAGCCCATCTTCTCTATGTTTTCCAAAATGCCATCTTTACCCTAACCTGAATGTTAGTTCACAATTTTTCTGGATATTTTTTTTAACTTGTATTCCAATGGCTTGTATATTCCTGACAAAAACTGTACTATTATCCAAAATACTTGAGTCCACCCATGATCTTTGTTTTTCTTCCCCCCCCCCCTTTTTTTTTTTTTTTGGTTAAAATTATCTTGCTAATTCTAACTTCATTTTTTCTTCCAGGTTCATTGTATCACTTAGACACATAAAATGCTAAAACAAAGACTGGGATTTTTTTTTTTTTTTTGACATTACGTTAGAATTAACTTGAAATAGATATTTTTAAGAACATCAGATTTTCCAATTCAAAATTGTGTAAAACTCATGATTAAACTTCATATTTCATAGGTTTACTACTAGCTATCTTTCTTTGTTTTGGGTGGTAATCTTCAAATAGGTCTTTCAGTATGTTTTCTAACTGATGTGGCTGGGTTAAGGAGGAATTACTTTTATATAATTCAATATTCCTGCCTTTTTAAGATGTTCTCTTCCCTCTAGTTTCTGTGACAGTACTCTCTCTAGATGCTCCTTTGTTCAACTATCATTCATCATTCATCATTCACTTATCCCAATAACTAGTAAATGCCTACATGTGCTATGGAAACAAAGTGAATAAAGTGGGACAGTTTCTAAACTTAATAGAGCTTGCAGTCTAAAGAAAAGACTACATAGTTATAAAGAATAAGAAGTAGTGTATGTTTGAGTGTGTATTCAAAGATGTGTGTATGTATTAATACATACAGTTGGCCCTCTGTATCCAGGGCCCCTGCATCTGTGAATTCAACTAACTGGTGATAGAAAATATTAGAAAAATAGGAAAAAAAATCCCACCACATTTATATTATTCATATAGACTTTCTTCTCATTATTCCGTAAACTACACAGTTTAACAACCATTTACATGGTTCTTACATTGTATAAAATACTATATGTGATCTAGAGATGATTTAAAGTACATGGGAGGATGTGTGTTAGGTTATGTGCAAATACTACAACATTTTATATAAGGAACATGAGCATTCCTGGATTTTGGTACCCATAGAAGGGTCCTGGGACCATTTCTCCAAGGACACTGGAGGAAGACTATATACATAAACCTAGATCCGACCACAAGTTCAGTACGAACAAGGTGTTCATTATACTTTGACTAAATGAAATACCCATCACTTAATGTATCAATGTATTAAAAAAGCTAAAATACAATATGAAAATAGAAAATAGTAGTAAACCATAGCTCAAATCAATAAAAAGGCAGTTCTTGGCAAAATGAAAATGATTGACTCCTCTGAATATTATTCAATCTTTTTTAAGTTCAGATTTGAATTTTACCTAAATTAGGGGACTAAAAATAACTGGAAGACTATTGATTTTGTTCTCAATTTAGACTAGTAAAGCCTGAATAATAATTTCAAGTGGGCTAGCAAAGTACCACTGAGGTTCAGCACTTAGCCAGCATGTGCAAGGATCTGAGTTCAATCTCCAGCATTGGAAAAAATAAAAAATTTACACATGGCAAGTGTGTGTTTTTTTTTTTTTTTGTGTATATATATATATATATATATATATATATATATATACACACACACACAGAGAGATATACATATATACCTTCAAAAAATAGATAATCAAAAGGCTTAATCATGAATTCAACATCTTATAAATTTGACAAAGCACAATTAAAAATGTATTCTCAGTATACTTTGGTTCCCAAAGTTCTACTTCTATCTACATTATCAGCATTTCTCCTTGCTTAAAGCCTTTATCCCTGTTAGCTCCTTAGCAGTCACTGCACTCCAAACTCAATGCTAGCTGAAAATAAAGGTAACAAAGTTTTCTTCATCAACAGCCCGTAGGCTCACAAAATTGAACCTGTTCTTTTATCTGCCTGTGTTCATTTAGCCCACCAAGCAGTCTTTATTAAAGCTGAGGCATCAGGCAGTCAAAGTTCATTAATACCATTTATATAATCTCTGCAGTTTCAATTAACTCAGCAAGACATTCTACTACATGATAACAGTCTCATTAATTCAATAAAATCCCATAACTATTAACAATATGGTCGATGTTAAACGGGGTGTCACCTAGTACAAAATAATAGCTTTAACAGCTTGTGATGAAACTCAAGGTTTTTTCTTAAATTTGATCTGGCTAAATGTTCAGTCCTGCTACAGCAAGGTATTATTTCTCTGTAAAGAATCTATAGGATTTTAAACATGTACAGGGAGTAATTAAGTCTTTTAAAGTGAGACCCAAGAGTGAGCTAATACTACTTTCTCTTAATCAGTAACTGATAGACTTTACCTGTTACCAAGAATTTGATCTCCATATTCCTGTAGTCTTCACACAAATGCAGTGGTCTACATATATCATAAATGGTGGAATGTGATGTTGTGTATTTTTTTTTCCTTATCCATGAAACTTATTTCTATTTTATTAGATTTTCTTAATCCACTTTTATTCTTTCTTTAAAGAAAAACAGGAAACAAATGTGTAACCTGGGATAATTTAATCCTAACTTGATACACTATCAATAAATCTATTACTGTGAGATATTTTTGAATTGGAAAGAGGAGCCAGAACAATGAGGAAATAGGTTTAACAACAAAAGCCAACACAATAAGAGCAGAAAAACAGAAAAATTCTGAAGCCTTGAAGACTTTGGACTTTGGGCTAACGTGTGTCAACAATACCCTTATGGATTAAGCCATTTTGAATAGGGCTTCTGTTGTTTTTCAATTCCCATTCTTTTTTTGGAGGGGAGGGGGAGTCCTTTTCTGTTTGTTTTAATTTTTTCACCTTTTGACTTTGTACTCAACTTTAGATAGCCTATCACCTTTCAAAGACATTTCCTTCCCTGAGATTATATAAAAGTTTTCTAAATCTTTTCCTACTATTTTCACATACTTTTAGTTTTTATATTTATATATTCCATCAAAAACTTATTATTCAATAAAGGTATAATCTAAACTTTTTTTGTCCTAGATGGAAAGCTAAATACAGCAAATCTGTTTCCTTTTCCCTAATTGAAATCTCATATATAATATATCTAGTTGGCTCCTAGGTTGTTCCACTCATTTGTTGGTTGATTTTTGTAATATCACAGAATTAGATTGATTAAAGTGCAGCAGATTGAACCCTGAGCCGTGTACATGCTGAGCATGTACAATTACCACAGAAATATTCTCCAGCCTCTAGCCAGTTTTATAGAAATTTTGGAGAAAACGTGAAGAAAGGAAATCCTTACATATTGTTGGTAGAAATGTAAATGAGTACAACCATTATGGAAAACTGTGTGGAGGTTCCTCAATTAAAAATGAATCTATCAGGGGCTGGGGTTGTGGCTCAGGGGCAGTGCGCTCACCTCACACATGCAAGGCCTTAGGTTCATTCCTTAACACTACATAAAAATAAATAAAACAGGTATTGTGTCCAACTACAAGTAAAAAATAAACATTAAAAAAAAAAAGCAACGGATCTATCATATGATACACTGCTCCCACTGCTGGGTATATATCCAAAAGAAATGAACTCAGTATATAGAAGCTACATCAGCACTTCCATGTTCACTGCAGCACTAATCACAATAAATGGAAACAACTTAAGTGTCCATTAAGGGATGAATGAAGAAAGAAAATGTAGGGTCCATATACAAAGTGGAATACTATTTGGCTATTAAAATGATGAAATTCTGTCATTGCAACAACATAGAAATAAAGTCACTATGTTAAATGAAATATTTCAGGTACAGAAATATAAGTACCACATAATCTTACTTATGTAGAATCTAAAAAAGTCAGTCTCATAGAAGTTGAGAACGAATGGTGGTAACCAAAGGCTAGGGAGAGTAGTAGGGTAAAAATGACAGAGAAAAAGGTTGGTCAGTGGGCACTAAGTACCATTTAAATAGGAGAGCTATGCTCTGGTATCCTATTTTATAGTAGGAAGACTAAACATTACCTGGTACCCAACAAATATTCATACTTATTACATGTCAATTAAATAAATACTTTCCAAATGCAAAAGAAGCAAAAAAAAGTAGTTTTAATATCTCCCTCTGTTTTTTGTACTCCCGTGTTCTGTGACAACTCCAACATAATTATGAACATGCTAACAACAACAATAAGGACCATAACTACTGATAGAAATTTTTAAAGAGCACTCCATGTTCTTAACTCCAAAGTAAATACTATTATTGTCCTCCTCTCACAGATAAGAAAAGTGAAGATTAGAAGTAAGGGAACTGTTGATGATGAGCAGCTAGCACATGGGGAAATTTTTATTCAAATAAACAGGATATGAGTCTAAACTCAGGGCTTTTAAGCACTAAACTATGTTATTCTCCATTAAAATAACTATAATGCTTTTAGGAATAATTCAAAGTAACCAGATCTAGTTTTAATGAAACAGATTATCACTGTCATGATGATACATTCTAAGGAGACACAGTCAGCATGCAATTAATAAAAACACATTACTAGTTTAAGAATTAATATAAAGACATTACTAAATTAAGAATAAAATTATTCGCTTGGATGTTCTGTATATACAATAACAAACACGTTATTTATTATGTTAATCTCACTTGGTTTACTATCTTAAACTTCGTAAGTTTGAGTTAAGTATATTGCTTTTACCACAGGTGTTTTCTGTTACATTAAATTGAAGTTTGGCAGTCATCAACTAGATGTAAGTTATAATTTGATTGTTTTGGATTAATGAATTTCATCTGTATTGCCTCTAAATGTATATTTGGAAAAATAAGCAAAAAAATTCAAAAATATGTATCTTCACTGGAACACAATAAACTTTAACAGGAAACCTAGATATCTTGATATAATTAAATGATTCAGTTTTCAATAAAAGTAAAAATAATCTTGTTTGCTTTAGTAAAGAGTCAAATAACAGGAACATAAAGAAATCAACTTGAACAAATTTTAAAAAACCATTCTGAAGCTCTATATCTGGTAAGTTTTAAAGACTAATAGTACATTTATTTATTTATTTATTTTTTACATGCCACATCACATATTTATAAGTGTTGTACTTAGGAACAATATTTATACATACAACTGGGAAAAGTTCTATTACTAGACTGGCTTCAAAGATGCTGTTTATAAACAAACTCAAAAGTTGAGAGAAAAGATTGAACATCTTATAGAAGACAATTTGGTAGAATGTCTTATAATGAGAAAGAAGCATATGTGCTTCAATGAGCTTACTTTTCTTGCCATGCAGCTGACAAGCAGCTCTTAGATTGCTTTAGCATTATGATACAACTCTGTATACAATAAAGGTTGCATTATTGCTCTATCACTTGTCAAGCTGTATAGAAAATTTTGAGTCAACGGATGCCACCTGTAAGATATTTTCATTACCTGTTTATAAAGCAACTGCTCGTTTTCTCTAGCATAACAGAAAAGAACATCTGTAAGAATCTTTCTCACATTTTCTTGTTGGAAAAACTGCATTTCGGGAAACCTGAAAAAAGAAAACACAGGATTGAAACTGACTGGCACAATTTCAAGAATCACCCTGAAACTCTCATCTCAAAGAGGTGTTAAGGGCTGCTTCAGGTTTACAACTCTGTATTTGCCTTGCAACTTACACCATTGGTGGGATTAAAAAAGGAATAATAAAAGGAAAATGATTATATCCCAGGGGTTAATGACATCCTTCAACATCTAAACATTTCAAAACTCTTCACATATTAAAAGTCACTGCATGTGTGAATATAAATTTTGAAAAATAATTATAGCCTACATAGGTTTGTTTTAGTCCATTTGGTTTTTAAAATTAGAATGTGATTTTGTGACAGTACCTTTTAAAGAAATACACTGTCATTGTTTTTTATGTAAATTTCAGAATTTCAATTACTTATGACCACATTATCAGTTTCATCTGATTAAAATGTAGATTTCAATTGGAACAAAAGTTAGTATACATTAGTTAAATGCTCTCTGGATCAAAAACTATATCAGGTGCTTTGAAGTAATGCAAAATAGAAAAAGGGTAGAGAATCTTCTTAAAAGGAGTTCAAATAGTTGTTTATAATGCAAGAATATACAGCTCCAAGAACCCAAATGCAAACACACAACAATGCAATACACAATTATCTGTTAAAGGCTGAAGGTATGTCATCTTGGAATAAACAGGGAATTCTGAACAGAATTTTTGGGAGAGGAATGGCATGAAAGATCAGTGGGAGCAGTAAGTAAATCAGAAGGAAAGTGATGAAGGTACAGAAGGCAGTGAGGATTTCAAGGGTGCAGGACAGAACTGTAACTAGTAATCAGGAGGAATGAAGTACTACCAGCAGGGAGAAAGCATGGGGAAAGAATATGGGACAAGTCTTTCTGGAAAGAGCTTTCAATGCTGAATTTAAAACTAAAATTCAGTGACTACATTTTTGAATAGGGAAATAAAAAAAGAAGAGTCTGTGGTTAACTAAGTAGAAATAAGTCAGAAAGAGAAGAGTTTCTAGGAAGGCTAAGTATGTTATAATGAAGGGAAATGAAAACTTTACAAACATAACAAAAGCCCGTATTCAAATATGCTCCATAAGTTCTAGTTATGTAATCTTGAGCAAATGATTGCCTAACTACCTCATATACCAAGTAGGGAGAACAACATTGATCTTGTAGATTGAGATCAGATCATGTGAAAACACCAAGAACAGCACAGCACCTGAGAAGCTGTAACCACTCAGGAACAAAGATCATTAACTAGTCTTTGAGTAATGGAACTTTGTGCACTGAAAGGGAATTGGGTGATATTAGAACTAGAAAATAAGAGACAATGTTAGAGAATGAACAGGAAGACTATGTAGAACACAGAGAAGTGGCAATTACTGGAATAGAAAAATAATCCTCAATGGAGTCTTTTAAAGAGCAATAATACCCATTTTCCTTCATATCATAATGGTTTCCTGCCTTCTTTAAGAATAGAATAATGTCTCTCAGATATGGAGTTTCTCTCTTTCTTCCTCATTAAATGACTGAAAGTTAGCCCTCTGGTTCATGACCAAAGATTTGGATTAACTGGCTTAATAATTTTGTGTGTTCCTTTCCTTGCATAGTATTTACAAACTTTCTATACACACTGGCCCAACTAAACACCGTTTCACTATTGCAAATCTGAATGGATCATGGAAGAAATTACCAAACTGCTACTCTGTAACAAACATCCACAAACTATATAATAAGAGTTCAACATCTAAAATATAAAAATGTATAAATTATATTGTATACCAAATCGTGGTTTCATTTAAATGCATACAAACCTCTTGCATGATTAAAAACTTAAAATCTAGAAGAATTAAGTTGCAGGTAGATAATTTAAATTGCCCACTTTTAGCAAACACCCAATCAACTGAAAATGCATATTAGGCAGACAGCACATCTATGCCAAAGTACAACATCTACAATGATCTACAATGCAAAAGTGCCAATTTATGAAATTTCAAGATCTCCTTTTTAAGGAAAGCTACAACTTGTTCTCTAAATTCTGATGAAGAATCCATAGCAGGGGCATAAGGCATAAAGATTGACAAAAGTTCTGAAAGAGAAATCAGTCTATGCTAGTACAGAAGTTAGAACAAGAACTGAAATTCAGAGAAGGTTTAGCTGAAAGAGCTGGGAGATTATCCAAACTCAGAAACTAATTAGCAATGAAACTGCCACAGAGAAACTGATACCTGTGCCAATGCATCTGAGCAGTCAGCAGACAGCAGTACTTTCTAACTCCTTCCCTTACCAGTTAGAAATGTCAGAGAAATCAATTTACGAAAAATCCCATGACTTCAGAGTGACACAGAAGAACATGGCTCAGAAGGTGGATGAACACATTTAATGATAACATAATACTTCCTACATAAAAGTACTCAATGGTCGTATTTTCAAGGTGCAAAATAGAAGGCACTGCATTTATAGGCATCAGATATAAGAAGAGAAAGTTAGTAACATTTCTAGGAATAGTAATTGGTTTTTGATGATATACTTCAAGTTTCAGAATAGCCTCCCCTCCCCATTTGACCTCTAGACTTTCCTTTTACCCCATGCCAGTTTGTGCTGATTCAGGATAAGTAATTTTGACATTAGGCTAACCCAGCTATTTCATTTGAAAGGCGAATTTGTTTTTGAAACAACAATAACAAAGAATATTAACCCAGTCTGGATTCAACAATTGCTAAGATTTTGAAAAATCATCAATGACTACAATTTCATACAAAAAAGAAAGAATAGTAACTTCAGAAAAAGTGAGATTAAAGCAAAAAAATGAGAATTGAAACTGTAAAGGCTCATGATTCTTTCAGCCCAAAATATTAGTAGGACAATAAAAGGGAAAAATTCACACTACATAGGAATTGAAGACAAATTTTGTGATTATCAGACAATGAAAGTCCAAGAGAAGTCATTTTTGCATTTGCCTGGAAAATGAAAATGGAAGTGTGAAACAGGTGAGGTAAAAACTCTGAAATTACAGAAAAACAATGAGAAAGTAAGTTTTTCATCAAGAAATTTATACAAAAAATCTAAGATATATATTTGGTGGAAAAAGTGATTATTTCAGCTTTAACTCTGTTGATCAATATTTAAAATTGCTGAGTTTCTCTTAGACATAATAGGGCATTTGACTGAATAAATCTGACATAAAAAAATATAAAATCAACACACAAAAATCAGTAGTGCTTTTCTATGCTAACAATGAATTTTAAAAAAATCAAGAACAATCTGATTTATATTAGTTAACAAAAATACTTAGGAATAATAAGGAGATAAAAGATTTATAAACTGAAAACTATAAAACCATTATGAAAGAAAATGAAGAAGGTAAAAATAAAAAATATCCTGTGTTCCTGGATCAGAGGACTTAACATTGTTAAAATGCCCATACCACCCAAAGCACTGCACAGACTCAATGAAATCCGTATCAAATTCCCAATGATATTTAGAAAGTAAAATCCTAAAATTCATATGGAAACATGAAATAACCCACATAGCAAAGATCATCAAGGATTACAACCCAAAGAGCCAAAAAAATAAAGCTGGATATATCATACTGACTTCAAACTGTATACAAAGCAATGATAATTAAAGCAGCATGGCACTGGCATAAAAACACACACATCAACCAATGGAACAGAGTAGAAAGCACAGAAATGAGCCAATTCATCTACAGTCAACTGATTTTTGACTAAAGTTCCAAGAATATACAATGTGAAAACGACAATTTCCTCAATAATGTTGTTGCAAAAACTGGATATCCATATGCAGAAGAATGAACTGGGACCCTTACCTTATTTACACCAACCATATAGGAAAAAAAAATTCAACTCAAAATGAATTAGACTTAAATATAAAACCAGAAACTGTGAAACTACTAGAAGGAAAATACAGGGGAAAAACTACATTGGTCTGGACACTGACTTTCTTACTTTGAACTAAGGAGCACAAGCAACAAAAGCAAAAATAGTCATAGGGGATTACATTAAAATAAAAACCTTCTGAGGTTGGGAGTATAACTTAGTAGTAGAGTACACACTTAGCATGCACAAGGCCCTGGGTCTAATCCCAGTAGTTGCTTACTAAATGAACAAATAAATAAAAAATTAAAAAATAAAAAATTTAATTTCTTAAAACCTCTGTTCAACAAATGAAGTAAGAGAATTTTCTCCCACTGTGGAGTGGGAGAAAATATGTGAAAGCCATACATCTGAAAATGGATTAATATCCAAAATGTTTAAGGAATTCTAACATCTCTATGAAAGAAAATAATCCAGTTAAGAATAAGACATTTATCAAAAGATGATATAATGGTTAACAGATAAATGGAAAATGTTCCATATCGCTCAACATTAAGGAGATAGGAATTACAATTAGGACCACAAATGTATTAAAATATAATTATTTAATCTATTAAAAAATCTGCAGTATGGAAAAAGTAATGAGATATCATAAAAGTACTGTGTATAATCTTGGCTTTGTATCTTAAACCAAAAGTGTTAGACAGTAGTGTTTTCAATATAGGTTTTAAAAATCTTCCGATGTAAACAGAGAAAAGAGCAGAATTAATCCGAATCTACCTACTACCTAATAAGTTTATACTGATTATATATATGAAACTGACTTTATATATATGTATGAAAACAATATGTGTGTATATATCGTCTCCCTAGTACTCCATTATTTTGAAGATAATCCAGACAACATCACCATATCTATAATATTATGTTTATTTCTAAAAGATAGTTTTTAAACCACAGTATTATAACACTAATACTAACAAAAATAATAGATTAACTCAAACATCCAATGTTCAAATTTCTGTGATTTCCCAAGACATTTTTTTATTCAAGATCTGAGAAATATCTATCAATGCACTGCAATTTATTAATGTCATTTAAAATTCCTTTACTTGATAGATTTGTCCTTTTCTTTTTCTTGCAATGTATTTATTAAAGAAACCAGGTACTTTAACCT